TTGCGCACGGTGATCACCAAGGCATACACGATCTTTTCCAGGGCGGTGTACCGTGTCTCGGCAGCTTTCAGTGAGCGGCTTACATAATAAACCGGGTGCTGGACTCGGTCCTCCTCTTGAACCAACACCGAACTTACCGCTTTGGCCGAGGCGGCGAGGTACAACAGTAAGGGCTCGCCCTCCTGGGGAGTAGACAGTACTGGGGGAGTCGACAGATATCGTTTTAGTTCCTCGAACGACTGTTGGCATTCGTCAGTCCAAGCAAATCCCTCTTTCTTCTTCATGGCTTCGAAGAAAGGCACAGTTTTATCCGCCGATTTGCTCAGAAAACGGCTGAGGGCAGCCAGTCGTCCGGTCAAGCGTTGCAGGTCCTTGATAGTAGTAGGAGGCTGCATGTCGAGGATGGCTTGTACTTTCTCTGGGTTAGGCTCAATGCCTCGCTTGGTGACCATGTAGCCTAAGAACTTACCGCCCTGGACGGCGAATGCACACTTCTTGGGGTTCAATCGGAGGTTATACTTTATCATTACTTTAAAGCAGTCGGCTAAATCTTCCGCGTGCTTGTCCTCCTCTCGACTCTTGACGAGCATGTCGTCGACGTATGCGGCCATCAATTTTCCCAGCAGGTGGTGGAACAACCGCGCGACCATTCAGGTATACGTGGCCCCGGCATTTTTGAGTCCGAATGGCATGACTCGATAGCAATAAACTCCGTCCGGAGTTAAGAAGGCGGTCTTCTCCTCGTCTGCCGGGTGCATGAATATCTGATGGTACCCTCTGAAGGCATCCATAAAACTGAGCAGCGCCGACCCGGCCGTTTCGTCGACTAGCTGGTCGATTCGGGGCAGAGGAAACGGATCTTTTGGGCATGCTTTGTTAAGATCAGTGTAGTCCACACACATTCGCCACGTCGGAGGCTTGGGCACGAGGACCACGTTAGCCAACCATTCCGGGTACTTGACCTCACGGACGTGTCCGGCTGTTAACAGCGTGCTGACTTCTTTTTTCACGAACTCCCTCCGGTCGTTGGCCAAGTACCGTTTCTTTTGTACGACCGGCCGGTGCTCGGGGTCTACGGCGAGTCGATGTGATATTATCGATCGATCTACGCCGGGCATATCTTCCGGGCCCCAGGCGAAAACCAGCCGGTGCTCTTGGAGTACTCTCGTGATTTCCCCCTTTAATCTCTCCGAGAGGCCGACTCCGATTCTCACTCGCCTGCTCGGCTGTGCTGGGTCGATCTCAATTTCCTCTAGCTCAACGGCCGGCTCTGGGCGTGGTATCACTGTTTTCTTAGGGGGCCTCTCGGTGATCTCGTGGACCTGCATCCCACGCTTGCCCATTCCTCTACATGCTTGCAGATAGCAGTCGCGGGCGACCTTGCGGTCACAACGCACCGTTCCTATTCCGTTCGGCGTGCGAAACTTCAGGCATAAATGTTCGATTGAGATCAGGGCCCCGGGGTCTTCCAAACCCGGGCGGCCGAGTATGGCGTTGTGTGAGTAGGCTAGATCGACCACGATAAACTTCATGCTCAACCGTTGTACGTCCGGATAGCTGCCGATTTCCACAGGAAGAGTGATGGACCCTTCCGCCTCCACCGAGTCCCCGGTGAAACCGGCGAGAGGGGTGTTCACGGGTCTGAGCAGTTCTCGGGTCAGCCCCATCTTGGTAAAGGTCTCCAGGTACAGTATGTTGACGCTGCTCCCGGTGTCGACCAGGATTCGGCAGACGACCACACCGTTGATGTCCATGGCGATGACCAACGCGTCTCGATGCGGGGTTTCCCCGGCTGGCAGGTCCCTATCGGTAAACACGATGGGCTTCCGGCATACCTTTTTGGAGCTCTCTTCTCGACCATAGACTGTTCCGACATATAGCTGCCGAGCCCAGGCTTTTCGAGTGTTTGCGGAATCGCCGCCTTCTGGCCCGCCGACTATCATGTTAATGACCGGCTTCTGGCGCCATTGGGCTTCGTCCTCTTCGGAAGCCGGCTGTTTGCCTCGGCTGTTTTCCACGTCGGCGGCGGTTCCCTCGCCACCTCGACTGGCCGACCTTCGCTTCCATTGGTTAGGGGTCGGTGTCCCTTGCTGGATGATCCCCTCCATGATCTTCTTTAGATAGTAGCATTCTTCCGTGCTGTGAGTATAAGATTTGTGATAGCGACAATATTTAGAAGTCTTACCCGTATCCTCGTCCACTGCACGGTCGTCGGCCGACGGAGGCGGAGGCGGAGGCGGAGCGACCGCCTGTACTTCGTGGACCGGTCGCTCTGGAACCGGTCGATAGGTGTGAACGACGGGGCGGTCGTACGGTCGCCTGACCTCGGGTCGTCGAGCCATGTCCGGACGCCTTTCTCTTGTCTCTGCCCGCGTCCTTTTTCCGCTGGCGGCCCCACCGACCTCGCGCTGCCGTTTATGCTTCATGGCCTGCTCTGTGTTGGCCCTCTTGTTGGCCATCTGGATGGCCTCCGCGTATGTCGCCGGGCGGTTGTCCCTTAGGTCCCGATACAGCTGTCCGGATCGCAAAGACTCAATGAAGAAGGTGAGCGCTGTTTGGTCCTCCACTTCTTCTATCGACTGGATCTCCTTTTGCCAGCGAGCCAGATAGGCTTTCAAGGACTCGCCCTCATCCTGATGGATGTCGCCCAAGTGTGTCAGATCCTTCTGTGGCTTGATGTTAGCGGCGTAGTGGCTCATGAAGCGGTCTGCCAATTCCTCGAAGCTGTGAATCGACCCTGGGGGCTGACCTACAAGCCATCTTTGGGCGGGCCCCTTCAGAGTTGGTAAGAAGGCACGGCACATGACCGGATCCCGCACTCCTAGGACTTGCATTTTAGCTTGGTAACTCAATAGATGTTCTCGCGGGTCGCCTGATCCGTCGAATGTGGCTTGCTCCGGGAACTTAAAGTCGCTCGGTATCTTAAAGGCCATAACCTCGTCTGAGAAGGGTAAGGCGGTCAGCAGCGTACGTCCTGGGGATTTGGCTTTTCCCTCCATTCGTTCTTTCAGATTTCGTACCTCCTGTACTAGGTTGGCCACTTCGATCCTTTCCCGGGTGCGATTTCCCGTGGATTCCGTGCTTTCGCCGACTTCAGACTCAGCCGGTTGGACGGGGTTGCGAGGAGGTTGCTCCACGCGACGAGTCTCGGTCCTGGCTCTTTTGGTTCGGCCCTTCTCTCGCGCAGCTCGTAGGTCGCGGGCGACCGACGGGGCACGACTGGGCTCCTTCCGGCCTAATCGCTCTCTTGCCGACCGACGCCCGACGCTGGGACCTAGCCGGGAATGAACGGATTGCACCGGTTGGCTTTCAGCCCGTCGGCTCAATTGCCGGTCGTCTGGCCTCTGAGGCGGTTGCAATTCGCGTTGCTGCTGGCGAGTGATGGACTGTTCTCTCACCCCCAGACTTGCTTCCGCACAGGCGCGCCCGATTGCGCGCAACTGCTCCGGAGTGAGCAGCACTTGGGGTACTTGCGGGTTTCTCTGCGGCGTTGGCGGCGGTGTCGCCTCGTTTTCATGGCTTCGGGCATTTCTCCTATTCAGTTGGTTTCTCAAGTCGGCCTCTCGTCCGTTGTCTTGACGGCTCGACTGTTCCTCGCTTCCAGCCATGTCTGGAGTCTGCCTGATTCAACTGTTGTTCCTCGGACTCGCCTCACTCAAGAGGACACGTGACTCTTCGTTTCGATCCCCACAGACGGCGCCAGTGATGGTTTTTGGGTTTTCGGGCCCAAGGAGGTCCAACACAACCTTAAGCTGGAGGATACACCTTTCACAAAATGTCTAGGTCTTTAGTGAAATAGGATGCTCAATGATGCTTTCTATTCCCTCTCCGGGTTCTCCCATCCCCCCCTTACAAGGGTGGAGGAGCCCTCTTTATAGTGGCTCCTCCTCTACTGACTTAAAGGCCCATGATGGCCGACTTAAAGGTTACATTCAATGTGTTGAGCCGTTGGGTGGCGTTACGGATTCTGCCAACGGCTCTCTCTGGCTAGTAACTGGCGGACCGAGTTCGACCTTTAATGCCTCAACGGCTCCTTGCCTTAACTGCTTTGAAGGCTCCCTCAACGGCCTCTCTGGACCGAGTCCTCACCTGGGCCTGGGCGACTCCTCGTCCTCGTTTGGCCTTGGACCGTCCTTCCGGGCTCTGAACTGGGCCTTCTTCTTCGGACCTGGGCCGAGTTCTGGACTCGGCCCATGCATTCTTTCTGGGCCTCTTTTCTTGGGCCGGGATTCTCACCCTATCAAACATAATTATGAACATATAGTTCTGTAATAATGAATATAAATATTCAATAATTGTGAATATGAAGTTCAAAAATTATGAATATTGCAAGGTGGACACGGTTCCACAGCATAATTTGCCTACGAGTACAGAACAACATGGATAAGTAATCGACAAACCGCCTGAATGAGTTGCTCACATGATTTTTTTATTTTATTTTATTTTATTTTTTTTTGTTTGTAAACCATGAGATGGTCTGGGTCTTTATCTGTTCGCTTAACGATTCAAGTCCACCCAACTAATCCTCATTCGCTTCGGGAGACACAGAAGTTAACCCAAGGGAGCTCATTTGCCACTTGAGCTATCCCTTTGGGGTTCACTCACATGAATTTAACTCATTGATTTAGTAAATCATATTTAGAAGAAGAGAGAAAATTTGAAATTTAAAAGTGGTAATGTGGAGATTATGCTTAAAGTTGACGAATTGGTACTTGACCATGTATCATCTACTGAGTTATTGAGTTAATTTGATTAACATTTTTTCACATGTTCTATTGGGTCAGGGCGTTGAGACCACTCAAATTGAATATTTAACCTTTTGGGAGAAAAGTAACAATGACAATTACACGCACAAGCTTAGCTGACTAATTCAATATGCAGTATTGGGGAAGAGTAAGAGTTGCGTGCAAACCACTCTCCTCTACTTTCCGTGAATCGGGAAGACACGCAAGCATGGTCGGACACGTGTACGAATCCCTTCCTCCGCTCTAAATTCGCTCTATCTAGCTCCACTACACTACTAGTCTACTACAGCGTGTAACCGTAACGCCCACGGCTCTCGGGAAGCGGGAATGGTGCTCGTCGGACTCTTCATATCGGCGACGAAGCTCGCCGGAGTCCTCGTGACGCTCTCGGTCGCCGCCAACGCTTTTTCCTACAACCATTACCGCAAGAAGAATCTCAAGCCTTTCTGTTCTCCCATTGACGAGTCTTTCGATACTCTCGCCGTCTTCGACGTTAATCCTGCCGGTAACTTCTAACTCACTCATATGCTAATCATCGCCATCCATAGGTGTACTTCTCTGTACTTAAATTGTGTTCATCAATTCATCGTCTGATTATACTGCGGCGCACAATCGTTTGCGTAATCTACGGTTTATTAAAACCAACCGGTCTCTGATTTCATTTCCGTTACAATGACTAATGTGCTTGATTATTAGTTATTGCTTCATTAGTGCAGTTAATTTGAAGAAAATTGCATATTCTAATTGTGGTGTTGTGTTTATATTCATTAACTATTGATGAACGCTATAAACTCAACCTTTAGCCTTCAATTTTTAACAATGATGATGCAAATAGTACTTGATTTTTCTGGACAAAATGCTAACCTTCAATCTGTTTATCATTGAAAATAATTGAAATTAAATATGAAAATGGATACTGTTTACTTAAAGCCTTTATTATTAAGATTTATGCTCTGGATTTTATTTATCAATATGTTTTTTTCATATGAACTTATCTAATCGATGACACTGAGCAATATCTTCAGGTCCCTTTTAGTAAACCACATGAACATGAGTATAGATTGAGGACTGTGAATAATCAATACTATAGGAACTTATTATATTATGTCAAAACTATCAGAAACCACACTTATCCAAAAGAACTTTCACCATAACTATAGGAACTGACATGTGTAGATTTCAAATAAACCGTTGCCTTCCAAGCAAAATCCTCAAGGACTCAAGGTTATTGGCATTGAGTTCGTAGTTTGCAATCCATATTTCTTTTTCCACTCATATGACTCAATGCAATATGTGCAGTGCTCTCCTACATGACAGTATTTTAATCTGTGCTCACTTTTTTGTCTGCCTGATATTCTATAGAAGGTGAGAAAGGGTTCTTCTTCGGATTGGCAACTGCACCAGCACATGTGGAAGACAGGCTTAATGATGCTTGGCTCCAGTTTGCTGAAGAGACTCCTTGTGAACAATCAAAATCAAATAATGAATCCCAACTAGCAGATGCACTATTGGCCTCTGCTACAGGTGATGGTGGCACCCAACAAGCTTCAGTACTACCAAGAACAGCTTCTCAGACCATAAAAAGAAGGAAGTCACTTAAGATAGCTATGGAGGCAAAAATTAGAGGATTTGAGAAGTACATAGAAGTAGAAGAATCTGTGCCTGCCGAGGCATGTCATCATACTGTTGCTGCCTGGCATAATGTTCCACACCCGTAAGTTCAATGAACCTAGCATAATGTTTTGATGTCTAGCTGACAGCATATTAATGCATACATGCCTCAATTTTAACTGGGCTGAAGTTGATGACCCATTAAGCTATCTCTCTTGAACTTCGGAGAACTGAGTTCCACAGTATTTGAAGCTACACCTATAAGATCATGACATTTTTCATTTGAACTTAAGCTTTCCATCATAATATGCATAGAATTGAAATAAAAACAAATGGACTGTTCCAATTATTTCAGGGAGGAAAGGCTAAGGTTTTGGTCTGACCCTGACACAGAATTGAAGCTGGCAAAGGATACTGGAGTCCAAGTGTTTAGGATGGGAATTGATTGGTCAAGGGTTATGCCTGAAGAGCCCAAGAATGGTTTAAAAGAATCTGTAAGTCTGACTCATGACTCTTTCAATTTTGCTACCATGATCCACCACAATCTAGTAGCTACATTGGGCTTTGACTTATCCTGAGTCAAGCTTCTATTTGACCCCATTTTCCCTTTGAGGGGGAGGGGCAGCCCTCCCAACTCCTATTACTCCATTCAAAAGGCTTGAACCCGAGACTTTGGTAAAGGGAAACTGAGCTCTTTCCTCTCAGACCACAGGTTGTTGGTCACTCACGACTATTATAAGTGTGTGTGTATCAACTCTTGATATGAGAGAATACCAAAATCTATATAGTTTTGCACAGATGCTTATCAAGGGTGTTGCTAGTTTCATAACTTTGGATCCTAATGTTTATGGTCTGAACAAAGACATAGAATTTATAAAGGATTGTAATAAAATATGTTGCTTGATATATTCGTAGGTCAACTATGCAGCTTTGGAGAGATATAAATGGATTGTAAATAGGGTGCGATTTTATGGGATGAAGGTAATGCTGACATTATTCCATCACTCGCTTCCACCATGGGCTGGAGAATATGGGGGGTGGAAGATGGAAAAGACCATTGACTACTTCTTGGAATTTACCAGGTTGGAGGCTCTGTATGAGCTTAGATCAAGATGCTGAACAGGCATATATTTATAATTTACTGAGCACTCACGTTATATGCCTAAAAATAGGATTTTTACTCTGCAATGGAATCCCTTGTAACTTGGCTGGAGGAATGGAATACTGCAGAAATTCTTTCTTTTATCTGCTCAATTAATTTGCTGGAATAATGCCTTGTTTTATCTTTTAGAACCTGACTAGCAGCATTACAGCATACTGCTATAGAAAATATGTGTCTATTACAAGCTTTACCAATATTTACTTCCTTTTCGTAGGCTTGTCGTTGACTCTGTATCAGATGTTGTGGACTACTGGGTAACATTCAATGAGCCTCATGTGTTCTGTATGCTCACTTATTGTGCTGGTGCTTGGCCTGGTGGTAATCCTGATATGCTGGAGGTTGCTACGTCTGCTTTACCCACTGGTGTTTTCAATCAAGCCATGCACTGGATGGCAATTGCACACTCAAAGGCCTACGATTACATCCATGAAAGGAGGTTAACAGCTTTTCTTCTATCATATTGGTTCTCGTTTTATCTTTTGATTGTATAATTGGATCTTTGTTAAATTTTTATTCTCAACAACTTTCTGAAGGATCTTTTCAAACTTATTAGGGATGGAAATTTTTTCCTTATGATTTATCCTGAAACCTTTGTCTTATATCTTGACTTTCTTCTTGCCCATACACTGCACTGCAGAGGATCGGGAACGCTAGTGGGAGTCGCACACCATGTCTCATTTATGCGTCCATATGGACTTTTTGACATTGCTGCTGTCTCAGTTGCTAATTCCTTGACTCTTTATCCTTATCTGGATGCTATTTCTGAGAAGCTGGATTATATTGGGATAAATTACTATGGACAGGTAATGCCCTATAGTTTACCTAGAAACCCTGACTTTTCCCCAATTTGGGCCAGTGGGTACTAAGTTGATTTTTTTTTTTTGTCCTTTTAATTTCCAGGAAGTTGTATGTGGTGCTGGACTGAAGCTTGTGGAAACTGATGAGTACAGTGAATCGGGCCGGGGGGTTTATCCTGATGGCTTGTATAGGGTTTTGCTTCAATTCCATGAAAGATACAAACATCTTAATGTGCCTTTCATAATCTCGGAGAATGGTGTTTCTGATGGAACAGATGTAATTAGACGACCATATATGTTGGAACATCTGTTGGCAGTTTTTGCGGCCACTCTAGCAGTATGATATTGAGACCTCAGTTGATAACTGTTGCTCCAATTTTTTTTTTTCTAGATTTATAGATTTTTAATGCCTGCCTACCACTGGCTGTCCTACAGGGTGTCCCAATACTTGGTTACTTGTTTTGGACAATTTCTGATAACTGGGAGTGGGCTGATGGCTATGGTCCGAAATTTGGACTTGTAGCAGTTGACCGTTCCAACAACCTTGCCAGGATTCCACGCCCTTCATACCATCTGTTTTCCAAGGTAACAATCTCTAAGTTAAAACTTCTGCTCACTATTGCTGGTGGTGCTTTTTCTTACATCATGTATTACAGGTTGTCACATCAGGTAAAATCACACGGCAGGATAGAGAGAATGCTTGGAATGAACTTCAAATTGCAGTAAAAGAGAAAAAAACAAGACCATTTTATCGCTCTGTGAACAAACATGGTTTAATGTATGCAGGTAATTATTTCAGTTTTTACAATTATAGTCTGTACCTTCTCTACTCATTTTGCTACGAAGTGTTTTTCTGTGTACAATTTTGTGCCAAATTTAGATATTATATAACCTAATGACTTTGCCAGTTCACACAACACATTATAGTCCCATCAACCTTGAATTTTACATAAATAATTTGCTTACCATTTAGTGTCAATTTATAGGCCACAGATGTGCCTAATTGTTTGTCCACTTTTCCAGGAGGTCTTGATGAGCCTATATGGCGACCATATATTGAACGTGATTGGCGGTTTGGACACTATGAAATGGAAGGTCTACAAGATCCATTGAGCCGAATTTCACGATTCATTCTCCGGCCCTTCTCCATCAAGAAGAAATCTAAATCCAAGACAGTGAATGAGGAAGCCAGTCTTGAGCCTCTAATGCAGAGCCTTTGATGCTCCTGCAAGAAATTATTGTGAAAATTCCATCAAATTTCTTCCGGTGAAGTTGGAGCAAGGTAACCTTCGCACACTACTTAATTTAAGCTCCACTCTTTATCTTCTCAAGGCTATCTGTAGACCTTGCATTTCAAGAAGAGTTCTTCTATAGTATTATATTTTCTAGAGTTCTTCTGTAGTCTATGCACACATTCAGTACTATATAGTATGAAAATTCATATTACCAACGAATCCCCTTTTACATGCCTTTATTTTTTCCTTTTATTTCTTCTTTTACATTGTTGGTTCAAGGAATGAGACTTGGTGAATTTACTGTTCTTCTAGTCACTGCTGGAAAGATGTGGTTCAAGATATAGTCAGAGATGTCCCTGGATGGAGGGGTAACATGATGATATTCATATTCTGTCAGATTGTATATAGCTTTGAAGTGCGAGTATCAACTCTGTATCTTGCATTGTTATTCGGCATCAGAAAAAATCAACTGTAATTTACTCGCGGATTGATGGATCGTCTATTCAACGCTGTAACATCTAATGCTTACTTATATCCGGAAAGTGTTGACAGCCTTCTTAGTTTTTTTTTTTTTTTTTTTTTTTTTTACCCAATTCGAGTTTTGATGTGATGAGCTTAGGATCGCTTTATTAGATACGCTCATCAAAAGATAAATTTTGTGTAATAAACTAGATAGTAATCACTTTAATCAACTGGTCCAGTGGCACGAAGTGACTCTTTCAATAAGTAGTTATGAGCATTTTTGAACTCCATTGTTGGTTGGTTTGGATTTGTTTTATATGTTTGTTTGTTTTTATTCTTTGCGGTATATAAAAAACAATGCAGTCCTTTTTGCCGTCTATAAAATTAGTACAATTTGTCACAAAGGGAAAATAGTAGCCGAACAATCGATTATTCTTAATTGTCCACATATTTAGTCCCCGTGGACTGTAGTGGCCTAGTCAAAGCTCAAAACCGCAAAGTCACAAGGAGATCACCGCTCTAATCTGTGACTCTGTTAGCAAAGAAAGCAGAGTTGAAATGGCGCCTCCTAATAGAACATTTTTACTTGTTGGTTTTCTTGTTATCTGGGTTTTATGCGCAGAATCATCATCCCCAAAAGCAGCACAGGAATCAGATAAGATAGGATATTTGCCAGGCCAACCAAGCGCCCCATTGCTCACCCACTTCTCTGGCTACATCACTGTAAATCAATCCCATGGGAGGGCCCTTTTCTACTGGTTCTTTGAGGCTAAATCTCACCCCTCCAACAAGCCTCTAGTCCTCTGGCTTAATGGAGGTACTCTAACTTCTAATGCCCATCTCATATTCACTTACCCAAATTGGGGTTTCAGCAAATTTATGTGGTTAGGTTTATTATTAGGTATTTAGGTCGATCTGTAATGTTACACCTTAAATGGTTAGCTCTCTTATCTTTATAGGCATACCCATTTTTTCTGTTTCGAGTTTTATGTTTTTGTTTGTGTTGGTGTTATTAAAGGACCTGGTTGCTCTTCAATTGGGTATGGAGCAGCTGCAGAGCTGGGCCCTCTCAGAGTTAAGAGAAATGGGGTTGGCCTTCACTTCAACAAGTATTCTTGGAATAAAGGTTTTTTTTTTTTTTTTTTTTTTCTTTTTTTTTTTTTTTTGGTACCACTTCATATAATTCCGGTTATAACTGTTGATTAGAATTGGATTGATTGAAGTTTAGGGCATGATCAGATTAACTTTGTAATTTGATTACAGAAGCCAATTTGTTGTTTGTGGAGTCTCCAGTTGGGGTTGGGTTCTCATACACAAACACATCCTCTGATTTAACCACATTGGATGACAAATTTGTTGGTAAAATCTCTATCCCCATCGAAATACAAATCTTTCTTTTCTATACGCAATTCTATTATTTGGTAAACGATTCCCGTTTTGATTACTTAGCTCAAGATACCTACAACTTTCTGGTCAATTGGTTGGAAAGGTTCCCGCAGTTCAAGGGTCATGACTTCTTCATAGCAGGAGAGAGCTACGCAGGTTTTACATGCCTCCACCTCAACATATTTTTGCTAGTTATTTAACTTTTCCGAGTTTCTATCTCAAGAAAGTTGCATTGTTTGATAATTGTAGGACACTACGTACCCCAACTGGCCGAGGTTGTGTTTGATAGAAACAGGGATAGGGGAATATACCCACGCATAAATCTCAAAGGTTTCATAGTATGTAAGCCTTGTTTCCATCGTATTTTTATTCTTCATACATGATGTAGTAGTGAATTGCTTCTTTGTCATTCTCCTTTTAGACTGCTACTAAGCATCTAAAATTTGCAGGTGGGGAACCCGGAAACGAATGATTATTATGATTATAAAGGCTTGTTAGAATATGCGTGGAGTCATGCCATAATTTCAGATCAACAGTATGATAAAGCGAAAGAAGTATGTGATTTTACACAGGAAAACTGGTCTGATAAATGCAATGAAGCAATGTCTATTGTATTCACCAAGTACGAAGAAATTGATATCTACAACATCTATGGTCCCAGATGTCTTCTAAATGGTTCTTCTTCGGCAACTGGTATCCGTGGTGTGCTGGATCTTGCTCTTACTAATAAGGTGATCCTACATAATAGTTAGCTTATCAGCCAATTTTGGCTTATTTGACCAGTGTTAATTGTTTGACTTGGTTAAAAAAATCAATATAAGTGTTTGGTTAATTAGGTTTTTGTAACTCCAAAATGCTAAAATTCAAAAAGCTGCTCAAAACAACTTTTTCAATTAGCTTTTTGAGAAAAGAAATTATACCAAACAGCTATCAGCTAACAGCTAATTACGAACCACCTTTCTACAATCAGCTAATGTTATCAACTAGTTATACCCTCTAATTAACCCAATCAGCTAACAGTCATTTGCTCTTCGACAAATGATTAAAACGAACATTTGCTCCATTTGGGTGCCTCGGGAACTCAGTTTTTGAGGGTACATTAAATTGCAGGAAAGAACTTATGCATACAGGAGGATGAAGCGAATACCCGGGGGTTATGATCCATGCTATTCCCCATATGCGGAGGAATACTTCAACAGGATTGATGTTCAAAAGGCTTTCCATGCAAATATTAGAGCACCGGGTTCTACTGTCAACTGGAAGACATGCAGGCTAGTCCCATTTGATTTTGCTTCTATTTCTTGAATCCATCTCGTTTATTTGCCTTCTACGTGATTTTTAATTCCGCATAGTTTTCATCTTTTACTTTAGTGATCCAGTATTTAGGGCATACAAATACACTACGTTCTCTCTACTGCCTGTGTATGAAAAGCTAATCAAAGGCGGTCTCAAGATTTGGATTTACAGGTACGGGAGACATTTTCCCTTTTCTTTCCCGTCTCTATTTTCCAGTCTACCCGTAATTTGTTTATAACCATCCTCCGGTGTTTATTGTGAAAAAAGTGGGGATGCCGATGGGAGAGTACCAGTAATTGGGTCAAGATACTGCATAGAAGCTCTTAAACTGCCTCTGAAATCCCCCTGGCGATCGTGGTTCCATAATCATCAGGTCAGTATCGATCCCACAAGATTTATTCTCCCGTTGAGCTCTGATCTCCTACTAGTTAGACATTCATTGCATTTCCTCACGCGATGCATCAGTATCTAACAATTTTAACGCCTGAAAATCTCGTACCCAATCATCGAAATGCAGGTAGGAGGAAGGATAGTCGAGTACCATGGGCTGACATTTGTAACGGTGAGAGGTGCAGGCCATCTCGTACCTCTCAATAAACCGAGTGAAGCTCTAGCTTTGATACATTCTTTCTTGTCCGGTGAAGAACTCCCAGCGCAGAGATGAACATCATCGCGCTCTTAGATTCGTTCGTATACTTGTATCAATTCGAAGAAATTCAGGAGCCCTAAACACCAGAATACTAGCTCAAACAGTTAACAGCATTGTGTAGTTCATGTTTGTGTAGCCAGAGAGTTGAATAATTTCTTCTCAACCCAAAGAAAGCTACAGACTTTTCTTCTTTCTTGCTATTTATTGTTTCTGTGATGAACAAAACTTGTTCTGTTGTACTAATAAGATAAGGATTTTATTACTTTGAATTAATTAAATCAAGGGCAATGTTATATGCAAAATACATTTTGTATGCATTTTCAGTTTTTCACCCCTACTTAAAAATTTGTAAAAACAAGAGACAAAGAAAGACACTTATACTTAGAAATGCCTAAGGCATCATTAACCCCGAGGAGAGTCAAAGATTTGGAGAGTGTTATGGAATGTACAAGTATTATAAAATGTATATATGTTAGACAGCTTGGAAATAATGTCTTGCTTCTTTCTTAGAAGCCTTCTAGTATGTATATATAGGACTGCATTTTCTCCTTTCTATAAGATGAATATATACACTTCTCCTTTACCTTCGTTCGTGGTATCAGAGCATGTTCAGTTCATTTTACGTTCACCTCGTTGTCGAGTTTTCGGTTGTTCACTTGAGATAGAGTTGGAAAATATACGAGAGAAAATATGAGTTTATAAATTATAATGCTATGAGATATACTAAATAATTGATTGGATTCCTTCTTGTAGTGGAGTTTTCAGTTGTCCACTTAAGGTGGAGTTTGAAAATATAAGAGAGAAAATATGAGTTTATAAATTATAATACTATAGGATATACTAACTAATTGATTGGATTCCTTCTCACAGTGTGGTTTAATTTATGTGCATTATAGTTCAAACATATTTAAATTTGTTTATAATTTTTTTATACAAATAATATTAATAATATTTTCTTTAAATTACTCCGTAATATTCAAGAAGAAATTATCCAATAATAATAATAATAATTTACATTTGAGACGAAGAGGGAAAAGGGTTGGTATTCACGCGCCTATATTGTATATCTCTTTGAAAAACAAAAAAACAAACCCTACTACAGTAATACTGTAAATTGTTCTCCCTGACGTCTCCCACTCATCAAACTCTCCGAAACAACGTTACTGCCTGGCTCTAAGTTGTTGTGGCTGATTCCAGATCCTACAGAACAAGCTCTAAATCCCTTTGTATTTCCAGGTATCAAATCTCTGACTCGAAATTGCTGTTTCTTTTGTTTTTGTTTTTGTTTTTTTTTTTTTTTTTTTGTTTTTTCATAATTGACTTAAATTTTGGCTATTCTCAATCGGTGGATATGATTTGGACCGTCTCAGTTTATGAAATTGAGTTTTTATCTAATAGTTTCAATTCTTTACTTGTTGAGATTTGAAATTCGTTGGAGATGTGAAATCTGAGGCAATCCTGGAGATTTTGAGTGTATTATCATATCACTAGTAAATCAAGATCCAATTGAGTTTTTGGTGAGATTTTGGATTTAAGTGTGTTGTGTATTCCCAGCTTCAGATATAAGCACTTTAGCTATCCAATCGTCCCTGTTAGGAAGTGTAAACTCGTAATGCGTTCTTAGAGATAATAAACCTAATTTCTCAGTGCTCAGAGAAACAGATTGTGAGTTTTTCTGTTTTTGAACAGTTGAAATTTTGGATAGTGCTTTCTTACAAGCTTTTGATTAAAAGATTGAAACAATTGCAATTTTTACAGTTAATGAGTTTCTATAATTTATTATACTTTGAATTCATACCCGCCTTATGGTTATTACCATTACCAATGATTGATTATAATTCACTTCGTTTTAGGCTTCCTAGAACTAACCATTTGTGTTAATTCATTATTTTTCTTATAATTGCACAATTGTTGTTTCCACGTTGTATACTGATTAGCCACATGAGATGAAATGTATTACACTTATAAATCATTATGCTGATGGACAACAAGGATATAAAAGGTTTCCGTGTTTGCACTACATGTTTCTCCTTGCTTCTAAATTTTATGTGTTTATACATGATATGATTGATTGGTTATGTTCTTTCTTCCTGATAAACTGTCTATTAGTAGTTTTGTTGAGAGCTGGTGCTTGACAAAGTGATTCAGAATTTCCGTTTACTACTAGTTTTTACTTGATTCGAATTTTGTTGGATGGGGTAAAGCTTTTAGGCCAATCTTATTTACTATTCCGTGTTATTGACAGTAGAATTTGTAGGACTAATGGCTGGGCGTGATGATTCCAATGGGGCAAAAGAAAAATCAGGCAATGGAATAGATGAGTTGCCGACATTCAGTGCTGAAAATATGCAGAACAATATGAAAATCATCTACTACAGGTTTGTTTTGATGCCTTTCTGAGACACTTGATCTGGTGGCATATGGTAAAGATTATATAATCTAATTAATGGAATTATCAACACTTTTTGGCGTATTTAAGCTCATATGCATTGGTAATTAAAGTACATAATCCATAACTATATCAAATAAATGAAATAATCATATGCCTTGCCTAACAACAACGTTGACCATCTGATTCTCTGCCTTTGCAAAAGACACAAGCTAGTAGTCATTGAAAGTTTGCTTATTTTTGCAATAATGCATGGATGCACAAATAGTCTTATTCATGTATTGAACTGTGAGTCTGGTATTTATCACATGATAAAATCATTTTTTAATGGAAAGACTATTTGGTTTAGAAACTCAAATTCATAGTGTTAAAGTTTAGGACACTGCAGATGATATGCATTTGTGAGTTCACTTTTATATATCAGGATAACTAGTTTTTCAGTCAGTGAAGAGATATACATCATGTGTTATGCTGTTATACATACAATAGAAGTGAACAACGGGAAATGGAAAGATACGAAAGAGAATCAGGAAAATATTAGCCTAGGTTTACAATGAAATTGTAGTTTTGCAGTTCCTCGCTTAGATTCTGTCCTATTATCTTTCCTTCCCCATCTTTTTCATCATTCTGTTTCTCATGCTGGCAATTTTCCACTTGATACTAAAATTTGGTTTCTGCTATTGCTCAGCCGCACGTTCATGTCCATCATTGGTGGTGTAATTGCTGGAATTCTGGGATTAACCGGCTTGATGGGCTTTATATTATATTTTCTTATCATGGGAATTACGTCAGCAGGATTGATTGCAAAAGCCAAGTTTTCGGTCTTTTCATACTTTGACAACTGGAACCGGATCATACTTGATGGATTCCTCGGGGGACTATTGGTATTTTCTTGAAAATCCAATTTCTTTTTTTCTTACATAATCTTTATCTCCCATTACTTTAATCTCTATTTCCTGGAGTTTGCCTTCACCGTTCCACCAAAACTACACTCACATATGATGGCTTGAATCAAGATCATATCATAGTTTTTGTTTTCTAAACACTATATGATTGACATTGTCTTCCATTCTGTGCAGTCGTTCGTGCTATTCTGGACGTATCCTTACTCAGTTTACCTACCCGTTCCAAATAATTTAAAGAAAAAAAAAGAAAGAAAGATTTTCTTTTAATAGATAATGTTATTTATCTTAGAGTTAATTTATCATTATTATCAAAATGAAATCCTTGACCCAAAGAAAGACTTGCATATGATATTGTCCACATATTCTGAGGTTCTGGAATGGAAAGGGGATCAGTGACAGGTGGTGCCATTTGAAGTAATCAGCAGTCTCAAAAACTCTCCCAAGAAAAATATCTTGTAGAATTTTTCTAATTTGACTTCTGATATTATCCCTTGTTTTCTTACCATTCTTATCAGTTGCAAAGATTGTGAAAGCTAAGTAGAAAAGAGAGTGTTGTCTCTCTCTTTTTGTGTTCTTTTTCCCAGTTTGTTTTACTTAGCATGGACATCCTTTTTGAGGATTCAAGAATTCACTACTTGACTACTCTGAAAAAATTAAATGTGTTGTAACTTTTTTTTTTTTTAAATTAAACTATTATATATATATATATATATATATATATATATATATATATATATATATATATATATTCTCTAGCGTTTGAATTACTTTTTAGGTGATGAAAGTATAGAACAGGTATTACCACCTTGCAAAGTGGACTCAGGTCAAAATACACAATTTACATACTCAAAGTTTACAATTCAAATTGTGGTTGAGTGGCATAGTTGTGTCTCCTCAAATGAGAGGTCTCTGGTTCGATATTTAATATGTAAATTGTGAGTATTTAGTATATAAAAATTGTGAACATTCAGAATGTAAATTGTTAACATTCAGTATATAAACTGTATATTTTTGGACTTGAGTCCTGGGTTCACAAAATAATTTGTCAAAATGGAGTCAATAGTACTAAAAAAAAAAAAAAAAAAAAAAAAAAAAAAAATAAAATCGAATGGTGCCCAATTCTATCAAGACAATAGGTTTGCATGCAGTGGCAAGGTCGTAAATAATTGTGATATGAAGGGTCGTGACCCAAAGCCTATTATTTGCCATTTGCCATAATCCACCCTTCACCTTTCAATGTAGGCTTCTCATTTGTTGACTGTTCAATCAAGAAACCCTCTAATTTCACAACCAACCAATCACCACCATTGCGACTATCAGAAAACTTAACTATCTTGATCAACCCAAAAAGTTGGTTAAATGTTGATTCCACAAAATTACAAGTTCAACTCTCAACAAAAAGAGTCTATTGACCTTTTTAATTTGAGCCAGTTAACTATGAATAACCTAAACTAGTACGAATTTTCCTTGCCATTCAAAAAAAAACTCAACTTTTATCTGGGGAGGGGGGAGAGAACAGTAAAAGACCAATATAATAGCGCATATATATGAGTTCAGGAAATACAACAGAAAACACAGAGACCATATAGCAGTACCAGGTTGGGAAATTAAAATGCAACAACACATCCTTCTACTGAACAACAAACAACTAATCTCTAAAGAGGTTTAAGATTACATGACTAACTAAACCGTTTATCCAGACCAGATTGATTATATGCATGTCCAGGATGGAGTCAACTCAAAACCACAAGGCTGGCTACAGCACTGTCATAGTACAAGAAAGGAGCACGGGGCGTCATTGCCTTCTTTCTATGGATGGAGGACATGGACTAAACAGAATGAGGAAAGGAGACGAATATTGACCTACAGATCGAAATGGTCAGGGTCCCATCCAAGATGAGTTTACCGCTTGGATGGTCTCTCATCATCCTCTCCCCCGTCATCATCAGAATCATCTTTGCCCGACCTTTTCCTCTTCGGTGGGGCCTCAACTTTCCCACCAGCATCATCGTCGTCATCCTCTTCCTCCTCTCCTTCAACGTCATCTTCCTCGCCATTCTCTTCAGGCTCAAAATCACTCGTATCTTCCTCATCCTCAGCAGTAGCACATGGCCTGACAAGGTACTCCGTTCCCAGATCCTCCTGGTTTCATACAGGAAAAACAAGTTAGAAAACAGCCCAAATAAGATCCAAGTTCAAGTAAAACATAGTTTCCACACCACAAAAAACGAAGAATTGATACCAAAATTCCACAAGCAATGGTTTAATTACTGATGCATAAGACTTTATGCCATACAAGTTTTAATAATTAATACGATTAAAAAAATTAAAAAGCCAGCCTTTTAAGTTTTAACATGCTCTGGTGGTTAAACACTGAATTTAAGAATTTTTCAACCATATATAGATACAAAGTTTGTCATGGAGCATGGTATTACAAAGACAAAATTAGCGAAAATATAAGCACTTTATTCACATTCAAGGACAAAAATAAAGTAGCTTGAAGTGTGTTGAGGAAGGGGTCTAAATCTAAATAAATTTGAATTAACCCAAACAGAGAAAACGTGAAGCTTGAGAATTCCTAAAACAACAAGTGAAAAGAAAAGACAGGGGAAAATGATTTTTTTTTTTTAATTTTGAAAAAGGAAAAAGAAAAAAAAATATAGTTGTTAGGCAAAATTAAGTAGAAGAATAGTTTCATCAAGCTATCAAATATTTTAATGCAATTTTTACATAAAATTTACTTTACCAAAACTTTGACTTTTCCAACCTTGCATCAAACTATTCTCTGTCAGATCTCTAAGTAAAAGAAGTCACAAGTGAAGATATAAACACAGATGAAGTTGCAAACAGACCCAAATCTAACAGATCTGAAAATGCCCAGTTCAGATTTAACACAACAGAAAGCATAATTAATAACCACCCATGAAAAATCCCCCAAAAAATTAGGCTAAAACTAATAAAGTTATCAACTTTCACAGGATTATCATACAAAAGAATAACAGATCTAAGAAAATTCAGGAGAAATCTAACCAAACAAATCAAAAAAAAAAAATCAAATCATATGAAATAAACTTTCAAATCGGTAAACAGAGCTATTGACACACAAAATTAATTAATCTAGGGTTTAGAATCATCACCTCCTCTTCTACGCCTTCCTCATCCTCGTCGTCTTCATCGTCGTCATCGTCATCATCGTCGTCGCCTTCATCGTCCTCCTCACCGTCGTCGCCGTCACCATCCTCATCGTCGTCGTCGTCGTCTACAGTGTGAACCTCCGGAGCAGCGGAGTTCGGCGGAGCTTCTTGCTCATCCTCATCATCATCGACGTCGTCTTCGTCTTCGTCATCGTCTTCCCCGTCGTCGTCTTCGCCGCCTTCGACTTCCCCCTCGTCGTCCCCGTCGACGACTTCCTCAACTTCCTCCTCGCTCTCCAGCTCTTCCAAGCTCCTCTCTTTCTCATAAACAGCCATTTTTTCCAGGAATTTGCAAGGAAAAATTCAGGAAAATTTTCGCAGGAAAATTAAATTAAATTTCAGAATTTTTCGAGGAAGAGAGAGGGGAATAGAGCAGCTTGTTCGTTCTTCAGAGTAGCAATGCAGGCCGATAGATCTCAGCCGTTGGAATTTCGGAATGAACCGGATCGATGACGTGGCGTATCATCGGACGGTGGAAGTGAAAGTATCGTATATCTCGTGTGCTTTTCGTGGGTTGCGGCGCTATGTATTCCACTGTCTTGTCAATACACTAATCACGTGCTTTGCGTGTGAGGGTATCTAGGGTTATTCGAGATACGGAGTATTTTTTAGAGATGGTTTTGAAAATTCATTTGGGCCGAAAACGCAGTGGATTTGGGCCGTTTGGAATTTTCTTACAAACAAATATTTGTATGGTCTTGTAAAAGCCCATTGAAGCTGGGCCCCCTCAGAAAGCCCATGGCCACCCTAATGGCAAATTATTGTATGGACCATGGTCCACACAATGTTATGTGGACCATAATAAAATGTACATTTTTAATATACTAAGTGTACATTATTTTTGTACTGAATGTACATTATACAATATAATGTACACTCAGAACAAAAATAATGTACATTCTCTGAATATAATGTACATTATTTTTGTACTGAATGTACATTATTTTTGTACTAAATGTACATTATTTTACAGTAGACAAAATATGGTCCACACAACTTGTGTGGACCATGGTCCATACAATAATGATTGCACCCTAATAAGTAATAACTAATAGGGCAAAATAGGCAAATTATGCTGTGCATCCGTATGCACCATATGCAAAAACGACGTCGTTTTATTAAAAACGCGCGTCTCCTCTTAAAAAAAAAATTTAGGTTCGATTCCCAGCAACAACATATGAACTAAAATTCCAGAATCGATGAACTATAATTCCAGAATCTATGAACTAAAGTTCCAGAATTTAATCTATGAACTAAAAATTTCAGAATGAATGAACTAAAATTTCAAAATCGATGAATTATAATTCCAGAATCAATGAACTAAAATTCCATAATCTATGAACTAAAATTCCATAATGAATGAGCAACATAATGCTGTTGCTGCAAACGAACCTGAATTTTTTTTAAGGGGAGACGCGCGTTTTTAATAAAACGACGTCGTTTTTGCATCCGTATGAACCATGCATGGTGCATACAAATGCACAGCATAACTACTCGGCAAATTATACTGAGTGACCGATAAATGTTTATTTTTAGTATATTGAAAATTATTTTTAATGTATTATAAGTTTATTTTTAAGTATTATACTAAATATTTACTAAATATGAATATTTAGTATGCTACAAATGAACTTGTAGGAAGGTGGTTTTCACTACATTATTGAGAGCGATTCTAAACTTGTGATTGAAAGGGAAAGGAATATCCCCATAGTCAATTGATAAATCTCATTGAAACCTATGTTGATGAAATTGAACATAATTGAAAAGTTGGAATGAAACATATTTTTACAGAAAAAAATAGAGTTGTTAATTGTTTAACTGGTGTTTTCTTAACTATTATCAAGGCATAATTAAGAGTTCAATACTTGGCCGTGACAGTGTGAAAATATCTACAAAATAAGTAAATTTCTTGTGCGTATCGACATTTGACCATATCTGTTGAGTCAATGAATTACCTTGATTGATATTCTCTCACATACTTTGTTAGAATGAGGTGTAAAATACCTTTAAGATCAGAAATTTAATCTTTTGGGAAGAAATTTACAATAGTGTAACCCCCTCGTTGGTTCAACAAATCATTGATGAGATAAGCTACAATTGAGTGCCTTCTATGTGTTCCCTTCCTCTTGTGACAAAATAAATAAATGAATAAACAAAATTAATATACGATTATCAATCCCCAACCAAATAGTAGGTCCACCATTACTTTCTAGCTCAGTAATAAAATGGCAGATATTTTCTGTCGGGCAGGATTATCATTGTTGTTATTTATTTATTAAAAAAGATAATGGGGTTAGGCAAAATATAATGAGACAAGTATGACTCAACCCATTATTATTATTATTATTATTATTATTATTATTATTATTATTATTTGAGGGGTTAATTGCACTTTCATCAATAGTTCAAGGGTCTATTTGACGCTTTTCCCTTATTATTATTATTATTATTATTTTGTTTTTTGTTGAAATATGTCCCCATATTAATTTTTCTTTTAAAAACAGATAAATTAAATTTGTAAAGTTATAATTTTAATTAGCACTTCTTCTTCTTCTTCTTTTTTTTTTTTTTTTTTTTTTTTTTTTTTTTTTTTTTTTTTTGGCTTACAGCCCATTTCAATTTTAACATAGGAGTGAAGATGATTTTGCTTGAACTTTGGATATGCTTCCTGTCCATGATTGATTTGATTATTTAGTTATTTATTTTTTAAAATAGCATTATTTTAAAACTTTTTTGTCGTATTACACATTATCTCTTCTATATAGACTCTAGAGCATTGCATTTGAGTACAATATACCTTTTATTATATATATATATATATATATATATATATATATATATATATATATAAAGTAATATGGGAAATGTGCAACTACTATTTGAGAATATCATAGCTAGCAAAGAAATCAATTTAGAACCGTTATTATTGAGAGTTGAACTTGTACATTGTGGTTAGCAAATCAATAGTGTAACCAATATAGTTTGGTTGTGGTTGCATGCCTCATTAATTTATATTTCAAGAATTGATATGGAGTATATCACAATTTAAAAAATGAAAAGACAATTGTAACCCTGTCAAACTAGAAAAATACTGCTTAAAATTATGGAATTTCCGACCACCTGAAAATGATCTTAAATCAAGTCGAATGCCTTGTTTCAACCACTTTTGGTATCCGAAAAAAATCTTTGTTGCTATATCCGACCATTTTTTACTTTTGACTTCATTTAAGATCATTTTCAGATGGTCAGAAATTTAATAATTTCCAACAGTGAAAGACAGAGTGAATTGAAGGGCAAATGCATCCAAATTTGAGAATTAACATTTATTTGATAAACAATTAAACAACAAATAGTAGATATAAAATGGTATGTAGCCTCGTAAAATATAGTTAAGTGGGTAGAACATGATTTTTATACCAGCGAGTTTATGAGTCCTTGATTATTGTATTATTGTAATATTCTTAAGTTAATAATTCATATTAATAAGTATATCCTTTTGCAATTTTCCAATAAACTTATGGGTCCTTGATTACCAAATGGAAAATTGCACAAGTGCACAAGATATAGTGATATACTTGTTAATATGTGTTAATAAGTATATCCTTTGCAATTTATCATTTTGGATTATGGGACCTTGATGGCACCTATGGCCAACCCCTCTATGATTGTGGTACCATGCTTATATTTGGAGGTTCAATAAAATGGTATGGAGAGCATACATTATGAATTGATTTGTTATCGAAACATTAAATCGTGTAAGTTTTATTTCAAAGAATAAATTTGCATTATGAAATATCAATAAATCTACTGACTCTATTTGGTATTAGTGAGTCTCTTGTGTTACTGTTTCATGGATCTTTATATGTGAGACGGTTCGGATCATGATAAAAATACAATTAAGTGCATGAAACTGTTACTTATATTTTTAACACAATTTATTTGCACACAAAAATACTATCACGTTTTTTTAAGTGTTTCTGATCCGTTAGATCTATCCTGATAGACGATTGTAATAGGTTTCTATTTCTCTTTTGGGCGTGCATTCTCGTTTGATCCGTTTTCTATATATGTGTGTGTTGACAACATTTGCTAAATGACAAATAAGTGATGTAATTCATTTGCAATATTTGTGATAAGTTGAAGTTATTATAAGATTATTTAAACATTTAAATATTAATAAAATGACAATGAAGCCAAGTTGTATTCTTGATAAGTTTATCCTTTGCAATTCTCCATTTGGGTCGTGGGTCCTTCATTGATAGGACCTTACTGAATAACGAAAACATCGTTTTCTTTAAAGTTGTTTTTATGTTTTAAGTTATGGACTTTATGGTGACTAGAATTTAATTGGTAATTAATTACTGCACAAAAGTGGTTGTTGAGCTAGTAGTTATCTTTCAAGGGATTAAGGGAAGATTCAATATATGGTAAGTTATACTTACTCTTACGTATTTTATCTGTCATGTTTAATATTTTTTGGTCAAATCAATTCTTTATTCTTTGCTTATTTCTATTAGGATTTTCTTATAATTTTAAATTTTGATTTTTTTTTTTTTGTGTTTAATTGTACTTCAAATGTAGTTTCTAAATATATAAATTTTACATACTAATTCTAACTTAATATTATGAAAAAATAAATTGTAAATAACTTCAGTCAAGTCTGGTTAACCGAACCCTACATATAAAATGGAAGGAAGGAGTATCCTTTTTTGAGATCTAAAGTGAACCTCGATATACAACATTATTTTTAGGGTAATACAGTAATAATCATTCATTTTGAGTATATCAGATTTATTATATATATTTTGTTACAAGTTCGTTTTTAGTATATTGCGTTGTCATTTTTAGTGTATTACAAGTCAAATAAGCTAAGCATATATGTATTAAATATCTATCTTGCTACGTGAATCCTAATCCACCATATAATTAAGCATCGGGGATTCAAGTTATTCATACATTTAAAGAAAATAAAATATGTGTGAATCATCTAGTTGATATATATTGATGCAAGATAGAATTTGGAGTAGAATGGTGTATTTGGTCTTTTTTTTTTTCTTTGAATATTAATTTAGGGAGGAAAAAGTGTTGTCCTGATTCTTGATATCCACTACTTGTCCCGTCCGTCTTGAAGTTTTAGTGGAGAAGTAAATTGTGAGATGTGTTTTAATCATTCCCAAAATTTTCAAATTGTTTGTATAACAATATCAACTAAGACCAACTTTTCATAAAGTAGAAAGTAAGCTAAAAACAACTACATAAAACGATACTACCCAACACTCACACAATTAGTCGTGGTTAAAGACCGTACCAACGGTCATTTAAAAAAAAAAAAACATCAAATTCATGAAGTTCAACCGATAAGGAGTAATAAAATTGTGTCATTCAGACTAAACAAAAATTAGCTTCATGCCTTCAATGTGGTCCATTAACCGTATTCCTTAATAGCATCCACAATATATGATAATGAGAGTCCCTAACCACAACTCCTTTCAAAATATTTTTTTTTAGCTTTGGTTTTGCGTATTATATTTCCTTTGGGTTTGAGGTATCCAAACAATCATTATAAATTAAAGTTTATCAAAACAATTGTTTTTATCACAACTTTAAAGTAAGTAAATATAAAGCAACTTTAACACATAAAGCAACCCATCATACATATATTATTTAATTGTCACATTATTTGTAAATATTTAATAAAAAAATTTATCTATATATATATATACATGTACATATACATTAATTAAAACCCTCACTTTCCATTATTATCAATCTCTTCACTTCTATCACCAAATCCTTACAAAGATGGCCGTGGATACATTGTTCTCCCTCGTGATGTTCATTTCCACAATGGTCCTCAACAAAGACAAAAATACCCTCATCACGGCCACATGCAGCAAAACCCCCAATTACCCTCTGTGCGTCGCCACCCTGCAATCCGACCCCCGGAGCTCCGCCGCCGGCGCCGACATCGAGACTCTCGGCCTGGTCATGGTGAGCGCCGTCAAGGCGCGAGCCACCGAGGTCACGCAGGCCATACCACCGCTCAAGGTGGCGAAACCGGAGTGGGGCCAGCCCCTCAGCCAGTGCTACTTTTACTACGACGCCGTTTTGCGCGCCGACGTGCCCGAGGCGGAGATGGCCCTGAAGAGAGGCGTCCCGAAGTTCGCGGAGGCGGGGATGGCGGACGCGGCGGTGGAGGCGGCGAGCTGCGACGCCGCGTTTAAGGATAATGGAATTACGGAATCGCCCTTGAAGGATTTTAACAAGAACGTGGTTGAACTCTCCGGTGTGGCCACGTCAATCATCAAGATGTTGTTATGATCTTAATTAGTTGTGTGAGATTTGAACTTTTTTACTCTGATTTTTATCGTTGCTATACTATTATTCTCTCTTCAAAAAAAAAAAAAAGAAGTTATTTTCAAGCTAAACATGTTGTCTATGTTCATAAATTAAATATAAAATAATATTTGTTAACGAATTATTTGCAAAAATCTCATCAAAAGCATTATTAATTACATATACATGAGTTTGATTTGCAAGCGGTATAGTAAAAATAGGCCTAATAGGCCGGTTAGGCGCTAGGCGCCCTGGGATCGAGGCGGTTTCAGTCCTAGGCGCCGAGTTGGGCGGCTAACTCGGTTGAGTGGTATTTTTTGCTTCCTCAGTTGCTAGCTCTTCTGCCTGCTACGTACTTAACTAACCATCTAGTATATGTAGTTGACTAGTTTGTGTGATTATAATAGTCTAACAACTTATAATTTTGAGTCTCTACCAAAAAAAAAAAACAAAAAACTTATAATCTTGAGTGGAAAAAGTGGAGACGATATACTCGAATTACTCGACCACCTAGACGCTAGCAGGCGCACCCCAAACGCCCAACTAATGCCTAGCGCTCCTCGTTGAATTTCAGACTATTAGATAATTTAATTCGAAACTTTCAAAAGAGTCATTATTTCTTACAGAAACTTTACAAAATATTATAAAATTAAAATTGTTTTCCTAATTTTTGGAAATAATGTTTCTTCCCAGCTTGTCAACTTAGTTTGTGGAGTGCACTTCATGGTTTTGCAATCCTATACTAGGTGGCAACAATAATATATCATTTCTTGCGGTAATTCTTTCTAATTTCTTACATTAAAGCCTGATTATATTAATTGGCAGTAACAAGAGGGTTCCATTGGGAGCAAAAGCAAATGGAATATATTCTAAAGTTTATTCTTTAATTTGTGCCGCCTTTACAGCATCACATTGCTTTTCTTTTTTTTTGGTATATATATATATATATATATATATATATATATATATATATATATAGAAGAACGCTCATATGTGGTCATGTCATTAGGTGTGGTCGTGTGGTCGTATCTGTGTCATTGAATCAGTTTAATCTAACGGCAGTGATAATTCTGAGGATTTTCGCGCGTTTTGGTAAGTGGGGGTGTTATGGTAATTACAGTGGCCATTTATAGCAGGCGGGTTCCAGAATACACCAACCGTGTTGACAACATACACCAATAGTGTAATAAAACACACCAGAGTGAACACACCAATGGTGTATTCCCGTGTTATGGTAATTACAATGGCCATTTATAGCGGCCGGGTTCCAGAATACACCAACAGTGTTGACAACATGCACCAATAGTGTAATAAAATACACAACAAAATCTTGATTAATATTCCGGTGTTTTATGACGAGTTTACCCTTGCAATTCGCTGGGTATGAGAATGTGCGCGAAAATACTAGAAAAATCTTGATTAATATGATTCATTGAATTTATCTAATCTAATGGCCTATAATTGACCATATGACCACACCTAACAACATGGCCACATGTGATCACTCCTATATATATATATATATATATATATATATATATATATATATATATATATATATATATATATATCATTGGGGATATATAAATTAATGAGATTTGAATTTAAATCTATTAATTGAAAGTTAAAAGTGTTTTTATATTTACGAAACCAACTATATCAAACTCTAAAACTTAAATCTCTAATTTTTTATTTTCACACTTTATCGTGGTCTCTCCTTATTTCTCTCATAGCTGAGTAGCATGCATACCCATCCTTATGTACTATATAGTAGTAGTGAAGGCAGTGGAGTGAACTATTTGATTGATCAAAAGTTAATCTTGAGTTTTTATCTTAGTTTTTAATTTTTTAAAATTCGATTGAGGTTAAGGGTACTTGTTATTGTCAAACCTTCGCACTTAGTTGTGTCTTACGACTGTAACTGTTCGTCTATTATTGTTATATTAGGTTTAAATTTTACAAATATATAAGCCTTATATAAAGTGTATAACGTGTAGATCTTAAATAGACTACAAGCCTATTTAAAACTTGCAATCAAATATCTTTAATGACTTATATATGACATATTAAATACGCCTTTAAAATGACTTCAGGCCAAGCCAAGCCTATTGTAGGCTTGTGCCTAAAAATAAACCTACATACAGGCTCAAGCCCAAACTCATGTCTCAAGTTCTCATTATGCTGTGCATCCGTGTGCACCATGCATGGTGCACACTGATGCAAAAACGACGTCGTTTTGACGCCGACTTTAAAAAAATTCATAACTTCATAACTATACATTCAGAATTGCATAACTACACATCCATAACTTCATAACTATAAATCCAGAATTGCATAACTGCACATCCATAACTTCATAACTATACATCCAGAATCGCATAACTATACATCCAGAATTGCACAATTACACACCCATAACTTCATAACTATAAATCCAGAATTGCATAACTACACATCCATAATTTCATAACTAAAAATCTAGAATGAATGAACAACATAATGCTGTTGCTGGGAATCGAAACTGATTTTTCTTTTTTAAGTGGGACGCGCATTTTTAGTCAAAACGACGTCGTTTTTACATCCGTGGCATCATGCATGGTGCATACAAATGCACAACATAATTTGCCCTCATAGTAAATCTAAACCTAATTTTTCAAAGTTTAACTCGACCTAATCTATTTTCATCCTTACTAGATACTCAAGTAAATGAATGAGCAATATAATTCGTTGATCGCTTAACATAACAACATAAAACTGATAGACAGCACAATATATGCTCTCATAACGACATAAAGTCATAATAGCTACACAAAGTTTTGCAACTATATTGCACTTTATATTTAATAGTCATCCACTTATTCAAAAATTGATTGACATTGACACAATTAAATTAAAGAAAAAAATTATCAAGATCCATTAAATAAATAAATAAATAAATAAATAAATAACAATTGAGTCAAATTGATAGGTATTCAATAAGTACCATTGATTTGGCCGACACCTAGATTTTTAATGTTAAAAGTAAATTTTCATGTGTACAAATGTACAATTTATTAATTTTATTTTTTAGATTTGTAAAATTTCTTTATTTTTATTTTTTAGAATTTTTTAAGATAGTCATAATGACTTTGTGAGAGGCGGAGCTAGAAAAAATAAGTTGGGGGTGAAAATTAGAAGGAGAATTTGTTTAGTATTAATCGTACTCGATATTTTATATATATATATATATATATATATATATATATATATATATATATATATCACATGATTGTACTAAACGTATATGGTACCTATTGTTACTTAATAATTTTTTTATATAACACAAAATATATAATTAGAAGTATTCTAGTTTACTTCTCCCTCTCTTATCAAGTAAAAGTCTTGTAACTAATTTATATTTCTTTTGTGGATCAACTGAATATTTTAATTTGAAGATGAAAATCAGTATCATAAAGTCAAGAACCAATGTTATTTTTCAGTTTTGATTTTAATCATTTACACAAAAAAAAAAAAAAGTACATTCTAAAAGTGTATATAAATTTTAAAAAAAAAAAAAACCACTGTAAATTATTAATTAATTAACCAACTAATAAAACTAAAACATATATCTCAAATTTAGAGATTTTTTTAATGTTAATTTGAATACTAAATACCTTCAAATCTTGTCAAGTACCTTGTGGTTTGATGGCATCGTTGTGGCACTTCCAAACGGAAGATCATGTTGTTATTGAGCATGTCATGTTGTTGAGCGGATACTACAGATATGTTAGTCTACTTAAAAAGTTAGAGAGGACCTGAAAATAATTTTTATCCATATTATATTATATATACATACATATTTAGAAGGGAAGGGACTACGTCTCTCTGCCCCTGATCATGTTCATTGTCTCCTATGTCGGATAGTCATAGCTATAAAAAAAACATCAAGATCTTGATTTAGACCTTTGAAATGATAACGACCCTTTATCACTCGTTAAAATGAATGTATAAATCTAACCATGTTGGTTGTCTCTCATATTGAACAACCATGACTATCAAGAACAAGATCTTGATTTGAACCTTTGAAAAAGAATGCAACCCTTTACCACTCTTTAAAATTAAGGTCTAAATCTAAACTAATTTTTACATTGCATACTTGGAGTCCAAATCACTTAAAAGAAATTAACATGTCAAAAAAATAATACTGAATATACTGAATATAATACTCTGTATTATTTGTTAAGCGGTCTACAAATTTGACGGTCTATTTGTCAGCTCGGAAGACGTTGAAGGGAATGAATTTTGTAACTTCCCAATTTTTTTGATGTAATTTCCTAACTCCTATGAAGCTTGTTAATGAAGCTGGTTTTCTAAAAGGAAAAAAAATCTCGATTCAACAATTTGCACTTATGGATTTATTTGGTATTTATTTCTTAATTTGGATGATAAGAAGTCAACGAGTATTAATTGACATGTGAAAATGTGAAATCCTAGTAGTTCAATTAGGGTTATTTCAAAAAAAAAAAAAAAAAAAGGTAACTTTCGCAGTTGTCGGCGTGATGGGTAACGGTCTGCACGTTGCGCTAATAGCAGAACTTAAGGATCAAAATGTTAAAAAAATACCAAGCCAGTCAACACAATTAATTAAATCAAATACAATTTGCAGCCGCCGCCCAGCCGGACGTGGCGGCCGGCCGCCGGCAGGCCGGCACATTAATGAATTCCAATTCCAGGGTCTCAAATACAATGACGGGATCTACAAGCCAAATATTAACCAATCAACAGTACAACCCTTACTACCTCTCCGAGACTAATTCAGATTCGATTCAAATCAAAGACCAATTCAGATTTGATTCAGATCACGGGCTATTCAAATCAAAGAATGATTTAGATTCGACTCAGGCCATGTGTGATAGACGCTGCTCGAGAAATGTTTGACCCAAAACTTGATGCACATGTCCAAGATTGGAAACACAGAATATGATGGGCAAAATTATATAAAGAAAAAAAATAATAAAGAACTGTCATTTGTCCAGACACTTTGCTCTTCAGCTATAATATGGTTTATATGCTTCGATAGTACAGTAAGAATTCTTGAATTGTAGAGTGTGGTAAGATGAAAGATGGATAAAAAACCTCAGGATGCGTATTGGCACAAAACAAATCCAAAGTATTAAACTAGCCGCTGTGTTAAAGAGACACTCACAAGCCTTAGCGTATTCTTATTTGCTGTACAAAGGCATCACGATATACTTTGAAGTTGATCCAGGAGGCAGAGACCCGTGTTGTCTGTCCATTTGATTCTGTTGTTCTATGCTTGCTTGGAACTTCCCTTCCTGAGCCACCCTCGGCTTCAACCTATAGCCATATTCGCCTGGTACTCGGGGTCCATACCAGAACTCGGCCCCACCATACTGCAAAACACCATGAACATGGAAGATCAGATTGGTAAGGCTGTTATTGATAAAACTACAAAAATAAAAAATAAAAATAAAAATAAAAACAAAACAAAAATAAGAATTTGAACATACATAGGAGATCCAGAACCGGTTGTAGATGATGAACTAGAAGATAGGTTTGGGCGGTCTTGTGGAAAGACGAGGCTACTATCTTTGGCTACACCTGATTCCGGGGAACCATGAAAGCTGGGGGAACTATTTCCGGATGACATCCCTGCAAAGTGGATGTTTATCAGCATTTTCAAACCTTGGATTTAACAAGACGTCGAGGTCTACAAGCATCATCATTCATCAAAATATAACATTCAGGAAAATATAACGTAGATGGTGATGACTGATGAATAGAATAATTTGCTTTTGAGTACTTCTTTACTCGACTAATGAAATCAGAAAACCAGTTGACTAGTTGAGGAGCCTCACCTTGGAAGATTAGCACAAGAAAGAATACAACAGTACAAAACATGGCAAAGAAGCTGCCATTCGATGCCAATGGCACTGACGACGCCTTTGCAGTTTTCATCTTCTTCAAAGCCTTCATTCGCTCAATCCTCGCACGTTTCATCATTGCAAGTTCATGTAATTCCTTGATCAGCTTCTGGTCGGCAGCATCCAGTGAATATCCTCGGGGAGGTCTGGGAGGCTTGGGGGGCTTCTTAGCACTCGTTGATTTGCGTTTCTCTTTCTCTATTTTCTTCTCCCCTAAATTCTCTGACTTTGCCCTCTCAATCTTCAGGGCCAAACTCTCACTGCTATTTGTTGCATTGCAACTCAGGATCACCCCATTTTCACCTTTATACGAATCATCAAACTTCCCAGCACACACGTCACCCAAAATCGTGTTCCTCGGTTTCACATCTAGAAGAGAGCCAGAGCATTCTACTCCTTCACTCATGTTCATACCAGCCTCAATATCAACCCCACACTCCCTCTCCCTACTATCCATCACAACTTATAAACTTCAAACTAGCACAAAACTTTCCAGTAATAAGCTTCAAAAATCTACTCCCCAACTGAAGTTTCCACTTCTGATTACCAAGCATTTGAAGCATACACTGGCAAACAAAAATTTCCAAACATCATTAACTTCCCAAATCTTAAAAACAGCAAAAATGAGGTTCCTACTAAAGCATCATTCTTTTGTTAAATTTTCAGGATTTAGAGCAATCTCCTCTCACTTTCCCCAAAAAAAACAAACTTGAATCTTGAAGTTAAGACTCAAAAATTCTCTAACACAAGCAGATGAAACTAAACTAAGCTAAACTATCTCAATTGAAACCTCATAAGTATCAAACAAACACCAAATCTACACCACCCCAAAGAAAAAGTACACACATTCAACTTATTTTTGATTTCCTTACACAGATAAACTATCAGACAAACACCCACACTCACACAGACATATACGCAAACAGATAGTGGACAAGGAGAGTACCTTTGGGCGAAAGAAAAGGAGCCCAGGAGCGGCGAGATCCGACGAAGACGGGCAGTATAGGTTTGAGATCCCAACCCCAAAACTTGAATAGAAGTGGGATCTTTTTCTCTCTCTGTGCAATTTACTACTACTACTACTCCCACAATAATCAACCAAAAATCACAGCTTTATCCGCCCAAGCTATGCACACTGCATTGAATTATACGATGGAGAGAGAGAGAGAGAAGGCGGCAGATAAGGATTAACGCACGCGGTGGGGGTGGGGGCGCTGGGTCCCGCTCTAGCTGTGGGAACAAACCTGGAAACAACTACTACATACGAGTACTATTTTTTACAATATAATTCTCAGAGCCATGGATTTGAAAATATGCGTTTGAATTTGAAATTGACCTAATAAAAGAAGATGAATTTAGAAGAAAGAAGAAAGAAGAAGAAGATCCTTTGTATATGGTTTATACTCCGTATCTCCACCGACAGCCCCTTCCTGGAACAATTCTAGGCCCAGCCACTTGTCACTTCAATTCCTTTCTCATTTATTTCCAGTTTTGTAGTTTTCTGTGACGCCTGGAACTCAATTTCACTATTTATTAGTGGATTGATGCGTCTGTTTTAACAAAATTTTGTTTTTTCACTTTAATAAATATCTTATAAGGAAAAAAGAAAGTATTGTTTTTCAAATGCCACCCAACAATGTACAATACTAAATTTAGTTGTGTGAGACCACATTCACCTTCCACTATCAATGAAATTACATATTGTGACTTGAAATAATAGGTAGACTATAATTTTCAGAGAAAATTGTAATTTATGAGCCTCAATAATATGTCAATTATCAATGTCACTACTGAATTATTAGTGGTGTAAATGTTGTCTTTCAATTTTCTAAACATTACATATACTGCCCCTCCCGTAGTGTACATGTTGCCCTTCAATTTTCCTCCCGTACGGTACCGGATGGGTAATATATGTACCGATTTGAAAATTGAAGGGCAACATTTACACCACTAATAATTCAAAAGTGACATTGATAATTAGCATATTATGAAAGGACATAAATTATAATTTTCCCTAATTTTCATATCGAATAAATGAATAATTACGAGTTTGATTTTTGTCTACATCATTTCAACTGATTCTATTGTGCACGGTCTTTTTAGTGTGATTTACTTCTCTTGTGTGATTTGCGAATCTTGAAAAGCGTGATCAAATAATTGAAGTATGATTTTTTTTTTGGGAAAATGACACTTTTTCCCCCTGAGTTATATACCTATAGCATTTTCTCCCCCTAAATTATTGAAGTGGCTGTTTTTCCCCCTGAAATGTTAAATGGACATATTTACCCTTAAACTAAATATTTAATTTATTTTTTTCTCCAACAAATTATGATCATAATTTGGTTCAAACTAAACAAACAATATAGCAACCAAACCGAAATATTCCAATTACAATTTAGAATCGAAATTCGATATTTAGAGTTTATTAAAATCGTGAACCGGAACGGACGGTTCATGTTTCGAACTGAAAAAATAAAATACATTTATTGTTGAATTTAGACTATTTTAAAATAAAAAATAAAATTTTAAAATAAAGAAGGTTCAAAATCGCGAATCAGATCAGGAACCGCCGGTTCACGGTTCAAGATTCAATTTTTTGATACTTAATTTTAATAAATTGACATTTAAATATTGGGTTCTAGATCTGAATTATAACCGTAAACTATTAATTCGATTGCTTTGGTATCTGGTTCAATTCAAACCGAACCATGGTCATCCCTACGTATACGCAATAATTTGTTGGAGTAATAAAATAAATAAAATGTTTACTTTAAGGGTATAAATGTCAATTTAATATATTAGGGGAAAAAAGCACCACTTTTAGAATAATTGAGGGGGCTAATGTGCTTACCTAAATAATTGAGGGGGGAAAAGTGCTATAAGTATATAACTCAGGGGTAAAAAGTGTCATTTTCCCTTTTTTTTTTTTTTTTTTTTTTTTTTTTTTTTTTTTGTGTCAATCCTATTGCACAAGGTCGTCTTAGTGATATTTATCTCTTCTATGTAATTTGCATGGTCCACACAATAATAATTGGAATTTTTCTTTGCCTAACATACATCATGCTCCGGCCTTGTGAACTGATTGGTGGACTTAATTTTAATAATAAAAATATAAAAAAAACATTTTAAACTATCATTAATAAAAATAAAAATAAAAAGTGCATGAAAGAATGCAATGTATTAGTAACTTGTTAATTTAATTCTAAAAACATTTTAAAAATAAGTATCAATTCACAAGTCAAAAAATTTCGACTTTAACCTGTCTTAATACATGATGTTCAAGGTTGGCCTGTAAATTATGACCTACTTGACAGTTGACACCATTCATATTCTAATAGAATTGACCAACAAGCTGTGATATAAGTAGAAAGAAATTTGGTTTCTTTGCATAAAGTCTTGTATTTGAACATTGTAAATACATCAAGTGTATAATAACTTGTATAAATTTGACATTAATTTAAGTTTGAAACTTTTTTTTTTTTTTGAAAGGCAATTTAAGTTTGAATTAATGTTAAAATAAAAATGCTAATGAAATTAATGTGAGCTGTGAATGGGCTGGTCCAAACGTAGTCGGATGGGCTTGGTACGTTGAACGCGTCAAGGAGAAAAATTACACGTTTTCTCAATGCAAAATTGTGTCATATTTTTGGATCGTACCATTAAATTGTTTATTATTATTATTATTATTATTATTATTATTATTATTATTATTTGTTTAGATCAGATGATAAGATAAAAACGTAATCATTACCAAAGGATATGCACTGATGGAATAAATTTCGCTTATGTGTAATAACTCATAAATTACACATAAAAAATAAATTGCACTATGATTTTTTTTTTTTTTAGTATATCCAATGGGATGGGAAGTACGTCGCCAAGTGTACATGTATTATTTCACTTATATTGATCCTTTGAAAGTTTAAGCGTGTGATTATCAACGTGATAAATAAATTTTTTTTTTAATGGAGAAATAATGAATTATGGATTCATTTACAAGATGAATATACGCATGATAGACCTGCTCTACAATATAAGAATTCAATCATGATAATCTTTTTAAAAATGGACTTCATGGCTTTTGGGTTCTTGGTTGAAGCTTGTAATTGGGCCATTGTAAGTTCCCAGATCGTATCTCCGGGTTTCATTTGATATTCAAATTAAGGGACAAAACCTGGAAAATAATTTTTTTTTTAATTGTTTACCTGAATGTAAGAAAATAATATTTTTCGTTTCGTTGAAAATTAAGAAAATGTATTTTTTTTTTGTTGGTTCATTTTCCTGAAAATGAACAAATTATTTGTATAATAATTGTTGGGTAATATGGTTGAAAAATCCCAAAATAATAATTCTACAGAAAAATTATTATTATAAGGGAAAACAGAAAACTGGGAAGGAAAAACTGGAGTGTTTGGATATAGGTTTAGCACGAGTTCGAACACAAGTTCTTTTCCTTATAACCTTATTTGCTACTTCCCACAAGTGCTAGGAGCGTTGTAGCCTAGGTTTTCCAGGATAAAACGTGCTACGATTCTTTGTTTAAGCACCTAAACAAAGAACCCGGCAAACAAAGCAAGACTTAGAACACTGCTGGGTAAAGAAGAGAGTAGAAGCAGAAGTTTTGAAGCAAAACTGTACTGGAATTCCTTAGTGTCGTGTACTGTGTAAAATGCTTCTGCCCTACCTCTCTTTATATAGGGCTGTTGAAAGGGATAGCATTCAACATGGCAATTAATTGGTATTAAACCAATTGTATAACACCTGTAACGGCCACCCACTAAGTAGGGTTAAACTCAGATTTCTAAGTAGGGTTAAACTCAGATTTAAAATTGGAATTAATTCCGTAACAGATGAGTTTAATTTGTACAACAGGCTGAACTTTCGGGTTTAAAATTGGAATTAATTCCGTAACAGATGAGTTTAATTTGTACAACAGGCTGAATTTTCGGGTTTCAAACCGTTGGGGTGCAGGTTCACACGAGAGTATAATATATCAATCTCTTCGTCTTACTACGAAGAATTCGAATCCACTTTGACCCGACCCAAATCGGAAGTGGACCCCACTGATAATTGTACCACAAAATAGCCACTTAATATGCCATTTTAAGCTAATTTTTCCAACAACAACAACAACAACAACAACAACAATAATAATAATAATAATAATAATAATAATACTAATAATAATATGTGGTGATGGTGGTGGTTGTGGTGGTGTTAGTGTTTGTGGTAGTGGTGGTGGTGGTTGTGGTGGTGTTAGTGTTTGTGGTAGTGGTGGTCGTGGTGGTTGTGTGGTAGTGGTGTTGGTCTTGATCTTGGTGGTAATGGTATATAAGTGGCGGTGGTGTGGGTGTGAAAGTGGTGTTGGTGTTGTTATGTCTCAGTGGTGTGTGGTGGTGGTAATGTTGGGCGTCGGCCAGGATGGCTGATTCAGTCCCTACTCAATTCGAGACAAAGCGTTGTGACTTACCATGGAGAGATATGGTTAAATGGTTAATGTCTACCTACTTATTGCGAATTGATTTTAGGTAAAATATGTGGCAATTAAATAGCTAAAAAAACTCAGTGGTTAAGTGTACTTGACTTACAACAATCACATGATGGGTAGAGAAGAATAAAGGGAATAAAGATAAAAAATAAAGAATCCAAAAAATGTCTCCCGACTACAAAATTAGGAAGACATTTTTTGTCAAATTAAGTCTTTTTTTCTTTCAGGAAGTCATTTTTCATATTTTCATACCGACCCCTAAATCCAACTCCTACTTCCTCAGACAACTCTATCCATAATTACAAGCATATCTCAATTAAATTGAAATATCTTATCAAATTTATTATTAATCAATCAATTATACTTTTTACTAAAGAGAAAATAACACGTTTAGACTTTTTAAGCGAAGTATAGATTTATTCCTTCAATTATTTGCGATGCAAATTTATTCATTCATTTACTATTAAAGTGGCATATCTTTAGTCTCTAAGGGTCCAAATCAGTTACTTTATTAGGTGATATATTAGTGGCAAAAATAGTCCCAATAGATCAAATTAGTCACTTTGGCAATACATGAGGGACTAAATCTACACTTCAAATAATTGGACAACTACATCTACACGTTGGTTGTAATTGAGGACAAAAAAGTCATTTATCTTTATTATAAATATAACAAATGCATAATCCTGAGCCATCTTCTCATTCATGTTTCTAGTAGGGTTCAAACCCTGACACTGTCGCCTTCAGTCGTGACATCAAGTTAGGCGATCTTTTTTTTTTATTATTATTAATATCTTCTTTCAAATATTCAAAAGTTTGTAGTCAATGCTGTCATCATTGTCATCGTCGTCGTCGCCAAGTTTGTAGC